AATAGAGAAACTAAACAGCAGAACTAGTTCAAAAACAGCCGACTCAACATAAAATAAGTGCACATCCGTCTCAGGCCTGTAACAAACACCAGCAGAACAGACACCTCTGACCAACAGCAAAATGTTTTTTTGCTTAAATCAATATTTCAAAGATTATAAAAAGGCCTTTGGATCAAGGCAAGTAAGTTATATACAGTCGTATGTAAAGGTTTGAACACTCTCACTCAAACTGAAGTTTTGGTGAGTTTTTCTGCAAATTTCTGAGGTTAGCCTATTACAAATACATACATAGTGTGCCATAACTTTTGCAGAGGCTGCATTTTCGTCCCCAATTTGTTAAATTCAGCAAATAAACATTTATTGTGCAGTACAGTGCACAGTAATGTGCTCCCTGTAGAAGACATGTACTTATTCACACGTCACATCAATTTGGTCAGGAGTGCCCAAACTTTTGCACACGACTGCATCAATAATGTGCACCATAAGGGTCAACCAAATGTCTTAATAGCTTTATTCTATTGGTGGCTGCCGTGCTTTGGGTCCGGCCATTCGATTCCACAGCTTGGCCGATGAGCACATTACTTTAATCAGGAAATTACAGCATTGTATATCCAAGGAGGTCACTGGCTTCTTTTCCAAGCTTAAATGACATGGATAGAAGGCATGAATTCTTTAAAACGTCCATTTTGCTATACCACACAATTGTTACTATGTAACTACATAGTTATTACATAGTAAAATTTGATTTACATTTACATTCTGAAATGACAGGTTCTGAGTTTTTTCTGTTTGTTTCAATGGCAAAAACAAAGGATGGCATTCCTTCCACAAAAGGCTGTATACACAACAATAAAAGCATAAAATTCACATCATAATTAAATATCCACTACCTACAAAAACAGATCTATTATTGATTGAAAGTTTACAACCTGCACTTTCCACACGACTTCCTGTGGTGATACTTTACAGGCCATGCATAATTAACCTCCGGGATAAAATGCACCCAACATTTATTAGTTTTTTTAACCAAAACTATCTGCTCTGCTCTACTGTGATCATCATTTTCAGGTGTCTTGTTCATCATAACTCACATGAATGAGGTGCACAAGACTAAGAAAGACCTGAATCTGCCTTACATGGCAGCGAGTGCCCATCAGCGAAGCCTGGAAGGCGGTGAAAAATACGAGTGAAACAGTCTTGCCTTATTTAAAGGTTAGTGTGGGCCTTTTTAAAGCAGCATGCACCTGCATATTATTGGAAATCATTTCACACTCCGCAGACAAAATGGGAGCCAAACAGCGTGTCTTTAATCATAACCTGCTTTGCTGCAATTTCCTTTAATTTTCTTTTTCTGCAAAACAGAAACACAGCCCCCCCACCCCCCAAAAATTACTCGCCTCTATTTTTATGAACAATTCATAGCAGATGGATAAGCACTAGCTGCGGTAAAAGGACGGACGGCACATCATAAACCCAGAATGCACTGCAACCGTAATCCGTTCTACATGATTCAGCTCAAACTTATTTAACCCATTCAAACCTGAGCCCATTTTGCAACGAAACATACATCTCTAAAACGGTGACAGAAAAAGATAAAAACATCGTTAACTTTTAGTGTCCAAGTAATTTTGGTCTTTTCTATTGCTCCATTCATCATGAAATCATCACACAGTATAAAGGACACCTGGTGTTATCAAAAGGTGAAAAAAACAAACAAATTGCGACTCTTCAGTGTGGGGGCATTACAATGCCTTTATAATGCGCTTATTACATTGTAACAAACTACTAGTTGGTAATTAGCTGGCTTAATTATCACTACATTACTAAGCAGTAACTCAAGTGAACTGCTCCTGGTTTCGTTTTTGACTCACTCTCAACATGGCTTAATAAGAGCATAACAAGTGCTCAAGAAAATGCTTAATACACCCTAATTACTGCTTAATAAAGTAGTAATAGACAGCCAATTAATCAGCAGCTAATCATTTGATAGGTTAACCAGCTAATGACTTTATAATTCTTCATAAATGCACAATGATGGACACCTAAAATGTTGTGTAACAGATTACAATGTATAAGACACAAATAAAAGTGCCCTGGAAAATGTTTAATTCACCATAGTTATTGCTTAATAATGTAGTAATTAGCAGCCCATTTAATTACCAGTTACTTGCATGATAGGAGAATTACACAGATTTCTGCTCAGTTCTATTGTTGAGATGTAAACAAAGCCATTCCGAGTGTTCTGATGTGAAATGCTTCATTGCAGAGAAACAGAACAGCTCGGATTCTCTTTAAGAACCAGGGGTCACTATGTCTACAACCCATCTATCCAAAACCACCAGTGAACCTACACGTGTCTTATGAGTATTTATATGTAATGTTGATGATGCTAAATCATTTTCTTTGGGGACAATTTTGCCTTAGAACACCCTGTGGGTACCTCTGTCATTAATGGATTTTTAAACATACATTTTAGACCAAGATCTGATCAAAAAACTGTCATAAAACTATGTTTCAGACATCAGGCAGTATATTCATCACCATTTCAACTTTCTGTGAGGGAGATTTTGGAGGTGGACTTCTGGTTCCTATCACCACCACTGTGAACAATTCTGACTCGCTTTCTCTAGAACAGCAAACCACTCCGAATGACTTTGTTTAATAGGGCAGTAACAAGCAGCCAGTTGATTACCAACTACTGGCTTGTTAAAGCTAATAATGCCCTTGTAATGCACTTAATGAGATCCCCATATACTTAAATGTTACCAAAAGAAGGTGGTTCTAAAATGAAAACAAGCCTTTTGGTTAAAATTTACAGCTTATTATTCAGAAGTTACAAAGACAGCCGAGCAAATTAGACAAGTTATTCTTAAAGGAGAATTACAAAAATTACAGCATGATTAAATAGTTAAGATGTAAAAACAAAGTCATTCAGAGTGGTTTAGTGTGAAATGCGCACCACTTTATTGAGAAACTTACCCACTCAGAAATGTTCACAGCGGTGGTGATAGGAACCAGACAACATCTGAAAACTTTGTATTGTATTTTATAAATCTTTACACTATATACACAGTGTGAAGATTTATAAAATACAATACGAAGTTTTCAGATGTTGTCTGGTGTGTATGTATATATATATATATAGCTGCTGTGGAAAAAACCTCGTATCTCCAAAATGGTAATTTTACAGGAGAAGCAAAAAACATACTCTACTTTTAATGTAAGTCAATAGAACCAGACTTTTTCCCAAGTAACTTTGGGCCGTTTCTTTGGGTCCATTCTTCATGAATTTTACACACATTGTAAAGGGCAACAGGCATTTTCAAATTATGTCAAAAACTGAAAAATGACAAAATTGGATATATATACGGTGCGTGTATTTTTTTATCTATTCATGTCAGAGATGTACATGCAAGCACATTATTTTTCAGATTTCCATCTATTAACCATCATCAACATTACCCATATAAACTCAGGCACGTGTAGGTTCACTAGTGGTTTTGACAGTAAATAAAATGGCTATATTTGTGTTGTAGACATCGTGATCCCTGCTTCCTACCACCACTGTAACAAAATCTAAATGTGTAAGTTTCTCTATAATGAAGTACATCTAACCGCTCCAAATGAGCAACTGAATTACGCTAAATTTTCATAAATCTGTGAAAATCCCCTTAATATAACTTACATGTAAGTTTAACAGAGGCTGACGGGTCCTGGCCATTTAATAATAAACAAATAAAGTAATTTAATTGAACAGTTATGAGTAATTTATCAGTGACGACAGCTTCTGTTCCCTACACATTCATAAAGTACAAAAAAGACAGCGACGATCTCTCCTAACCCCCCCCCCGTCCCACCCCTCTGAAACAGTAAGCAACAAGTCAATACTGTTATGATCCGAGCGTGACTGTATCTTCACACTACCTGACGACGAGCGACACGTTCGCCCTCCCCGCTATATCTAAAAGCCATCTCTCTCCTCCGAAAGCTCCCCTTCAAGCGGACTCCGGCAATCAAAGCCATTTATTTTTCAATATGCGCCGCTCCATTCACCGCGCTGATTGAAGCAGGCTGCATAACACCCCCCGCCGAGGGAAAACTTCAGATGAATCTGATTTCAGCTGAGCGCCATCTATTCCGACGCCGCACCGGCAGCCCTTCAGAAATCAGCGCCGCGCTTCATTATTCGGCTGCTGTTAGCTGTACAGGCAAAGCCCCTGTGCAGCGCAACACCTGACATTTCAGGGCTTTTAAGATGACAATGGTAGGGGGTGTGGTGGTGGTGGTGGTGGGTGTAACGTGGCATACAGGCAGCGTGAGACACGGACGCCCGAAATGTTTTTCGATTTCTGATTTACGCAAACATTATAAATAAATAGCGACGTCCCGCTACGAAGCTGGTAACAAAGCACGTCAGTGCAGTACATACATCAGCTGAACGCTGCAATTAGTTGAATGTCAGCTGTCAAAAGTAATGCAAAAAATAGCCTGTGAAACTTTGTCATCGCTATGGAAGCCAGTGTTGAAAAGCTTTTAAAATCCATGTTAACTTCACATAACAATATGTACCTGAAGCGTCCACAACACCCATTAGAACAACTACAACCAGGAAGGATAGTGGTGGGGAGATAGAACTGCTGCTCCAGGGGAGGATACATTTCATTCAAGGACACAGTTCATCCCTAAACCCTTGAATAAATGTTGGCATCAGTCTAGACGCCACCAGCCTTAGACAGCAGATGCTCACTCTCAGCCATGAAACAGCACTTGCGTAAATAAAGAACAAGCGAAATCTACAGCAAATTTGCTCAGTTCTTTAAATAAGCACATGGTTTATAGTACCGTAATTACATAGTAATTAAAAAGTAGTAATCATAACAACAAAGCCAAGACAGTGTTCCCAGCTAAAGTACACCTGGTGCACTTTTCAGGGATGTGACAAGAAAAGCAGTAAAAGAAAAAAAAACAGCACAAAATGCAAAGAAGAGAGCAAAACGTACCGTCTTTGAGTCTAATTCGTGGCGTGGTTGAGCTAAGACTTTATCTACACTGGCCGCATCTGCAAACGTAACGAAGCCAAACCCTCTGGAGAGAAAGGGAGAGACAAAAAAAAAACAAGACACAGGTGATGAAAACGACAGAGCACAGAACATGACATCATTTGCACAACCCTAACCAATCCTATTAAGCCGTGCAGGGATGCCTCCGTGCCCTTTGTATTTGCGTCTGTAAAAGGAGGACGGGGCGCGCTGTACAGCCTAGCATTGCAGTACAGTCCCAGGTCAATGTCAAACTGCATTAGGCAGCAGCTTTGGACAGCCAGCTCCTCCCGCTTAATCTATCTGACAGCGCAACCCAAGGCAGGACACTTTAAATATAGACAGTTCCCGAGCCCGGCCAAGATCCAGAGCCCGGCGGAGGCAAAGCAGAACAAACCAACAAAAAAAATTTTAAAAAAAAGAGGTTCACCTGGAGCGCTTTGTCGTGGGATCCCTCATCACCATACATTCTCTGATTTCTCCAAATTTGCTAAAATAGTCTCTAAGGCTGTCTGTGGACGAGAGAGGGAGAGAGGGAGAGAAGGGGTCAGTGATCAGTCCAAAAAAAAGAAAGAAAAGCAAGCAGGGGTCGAATAGAGGACTCCAAATGATTGCAAATCAGCATAACCTTGCAGAACATTCACACACACACACACACACACACACACACACACACACATACAACACACACACACACACACAAGCAGTGCTGGGGACGACAGAAACTAACAAAAGAGCCTCTCTTACCTGGTGAGGTTTGCCAGCTGAGGCCACCGATGAACATTTTGCTGGAAGGACAGAAACAAAAACAAAAACAAGAAGAATAAGAAGAGAGCAGAAAGTGAGTGCAGATACCAGATCGGCCATTTTGGCGTGTAAGGACTTGTAAAAGAAGAGAAAAGCGAACGAGACGAGGCGAAAGAGAACGAAAACACGCGAGTTGGGCGCTTTTTCCCCTCTATTGAGGCGAAAAAGAGAAACGGACTGGAGCTGCATGGTGCTGGCGGAGGTGGGGGGGGCAGAAACGAGGCCACGCAAACAAAGCTGGCGCTCCAGTGCGCTGGATCCGGAAGGACGAAACGAACGAAAAGCTACAGCTCCAGCACCTCCAGCACTTCAGCCCAACAGAATAAAAAAGAGATAATAACAACAGCTCGGCGCTCCGCGGAGAGGAATAAAGAATAACAAAAGTCCCCGCAAGTCCTGCGCTCTTACCCCGGGTCATGCTGCGTATCGTTGGGGCTTCCAGACGTGGCTTGGCTCCCGTCTCCATCCATAGCTAATGGAAGTATAGGCAGGGACTGAGAGCCACACACACACACACGCGCGCGCGCTCTCTCTCTCACACTCACTCACTCACACACACGCACGCGCCCGCACACACACACACGCAGAGACAGAAGGAGAGAGAGAGAGAGAGAGAGGGAGGGAGAGAGAGACAGACAGATAGAGAGAGAGAGAGAGGAGGCAGAAAGCAACGGAGCCCCTGCGAGCAGAGAGCAGCAACTGAGCCGGGAATGCAGGCGTCACACGTGGGATCAGCTCAGCCCCGCGGGGGGCGGGGCCGCCGAGCCTCGCTCAGCCAATCCGATTGACGTCACGCCGGAGAGAACGCCCCCCCTGTAGCGGGCAGACCACGCCCCCTGCTGGCGACGGCGCGCTTTTGCTGTAGTTCGCGCGCTCCGCGCTCAGAGGGCGCTCTGTGAAAGAGAAACGAAACCAAACAAAACAAACCGTCAGCAGCCGTTAGCGGAGCTGAGGGAGCGGGAAGCGCGGGGGGTTTGTGACCGGAGTGAGGTGAAGACTCGAGTGGAGGTCGTGAGAAACGGTTTTCAGTGAAAAGTGGGCTTAGTTTGAGGAAATGGGGTTTAAAAGCTGAAGGAGAAGTAGCCCGACTCCGTCCTCAGGTCCAAAACATCTGTGTGGGAAGAATAATGACAGGTAAAGGTACACACTGAAAAAAGATGCTTCTGTAAGGGTTTTAGTTAAGGGAACGTCCAAAAACTCCACTACTGAGTTCTTTACCGAACTGCAGAGGAGCTTCTTAGTACATCAAGGGAATGAGTTCTATATAGAGCAATTTCATGCTTAAGTGGTTCTTCAGATCGATGGAGAATGTGTTGTACATGGTTCCATATAGCACCAAAAATGGTTCTGCTATTATTATGATGCCAAGCTTGTAACAACAGAACCCTTTTGGCACTATATAGAACCACACACTCGTACAGTAAGTATTTAGTAAAGCGAATGAACCACGAGTTCTACATAGAACCATTTCATGCTTAAAAGGTTCTTTGCTTTGTGAAATGTTTCTTCAGATCCATGTTACAAGCTTGACATGGTAACAGTAGCTGAACTCTTTTTGGTGCTATATAGAACCATTTTCAATAAAATGTACAACACATTTTCCATTAATCTGAAGAACCATTTCACCATGCAATGAACCATTTAAGCATGAAATGGCTCTATATAGAAACATGGTTCCAAATAGAACCATTTGATTTACTAAAGAACCCTAGAAGAATCATATTTTTTAAGAGTGTATGGTTCCATATAGCACCAAAAAGGGTTCTTCTGTTGTTACAAGTTTGACATCATAACAATAGCAAAACACTTTTTGGTTCTATATAGAACCATATACAACATGTTCTCCACCAATCTGAAGAACCATTTCACCATACAAAGAACCATTTAAGCATGAAATGGCTGTTTAAAAGAACTCATGGTTTTAAATACAACTATTCGCTTTACTAAAGAATCCTTGAAGAACCATCTTTCTTAAGAGTGTATGGTTCTATGTAGTGCCAAAAATGTTCTGTTGTTACAAGCTTGACATCATGACAACAGCAGAACCCTTTTTGGTGCTATTTAGAACATACTCTCAATCAATCTGATGAACCATTTCACCATGCAAAGAACCATTCAAGCCTGAAATTGCTTTAAATAGAACCAATCCCTTTACTAAAGAATCCTTAAAGAACAATCTTTTTAAGAAGTTTATGGTTCTATATAGCACCATAAAGGGTTCTTCTGTTGTTACAAGCTTGGCATCATAACAATAGCAGATCCATTAATCTAAAGAACACTTTCACAATGCAGAGATCCCTTTAATCATGCCAAGGGTTCTTTGAGTGTTCATGGTTCTACATAGAACTGTTTTCTTTACTAAAGAACCCTTGATCTGTGGAGAATAGTTTGTAATATTGCTTTATAAATAACTACATTTGTAACTGATGCCAAACTTTTGAACAGTCGTGTAATTTAAAATGAAAGAAAGACTCAGTGAGCACAGAATAAAAGTCTAAATCCATTCCAAAGTAAAAGTCTTTAATGAAATAACCACTCAAGAAGAAGTATATAGTGTATAAAACTGTCAAAAAAGAATAACCTGAATCCATACTCAAGTAAAATTAACCTTAAACCAACCTGAAGTAAAATATCTTTAATTCAGTGAAATGGTGACCCCAGTATAAATGATATAAATAGTCTAAGAGCAGCTTGAAGTAAAAATATTCTCACTTCAGTACAATATTGGCTAAACATTGTCTAAAACCATCCTCAAATAAAAGTCTTAAGTGAATTAATGACTCAAGCAGAAGTAAAAAATATTCTACAACTATGGTCAGAAATGAACAACGACTCAATCTGAAGTGTGCCCACGTTAAACCCACCCAAAGGCAAAAGTGTGAAAGTGTAAATAAAAGTTGCCACCAAAAAACAACTTACGTTGGAGTGAAAACGTATCAAGTTCAAAAACTCCACTACTGAGTTCCTCCTGGAACTGCAGAGGAACTTCTTAGAACATCCATCACCTTATCAGTACAGTGTGTTCTTCTAATTTGGGATCCATTTGGTCTGAAATAAAATGGCAAAGCTCTAAAGCAGTGGCCTCCAACCCTGGTTCTGGAGAGCTACCACTGTCCTGCAGATTTGACACACCTGCTCCAGCTAACAAAGTCCCTGATTGGCTGGATCGGATGTAACATAAGGGGCGGGGCAGCTTATTGGGTACAGGTTGGAACTAAGCTCTGCAGAAAGGTAGCCCTCCAGACCAGCGTTGGAGGGATGAGCAACAGTAAATGAGTTCAGGAGTTGAACCAATAGAAGAAAATGAAATAAAATTAGGATGTAACTGTGATTTACAGTACAGCTGAGTAGATTACACTGTTAGAAATAAAGGTTCTGTGCAGGTACATTTTTTATTTATCAAGGTACAAACAATGTAGAGGTACAACAGTGGTTTTAAGGTCCAACTGTGAACCTTAAATTTTTTTCCAGGTGAAAAGTTCATATTTATACCTTTTCATAAACGAATGTTTTAAAACAGCACAATAAAATTAAAAGCCTGTATAGAACCAACTTAGAAAATATAATTTCAATTGATTATGGTACAGTTATGTTCCCTGACTTAAGGTACTGAGATGTACCCTTGAGGGTACCACCCCAGTGACAAGAGGGGCACTGCCCCCGTGACAGTTTGTAGGAAGGAGATTCTTCGCAAAAATGCTTGAGTTGTAGTGTTATCATTTGAAAATACTCAGAAAAGCACAAACCCATGAAACGTTTACTTAAGTTACCCATCTCAGGATGTTACACATACATTTTGTGTGTAAATCTAAACTTTACAAATCTGCAAATGTCTCAGAAGTGTGTCAAGTTTATTTGAGCATTATATTCTGTCACCTTTTACTGGTATTTGGTATCTGTTTCACTGTCGGAATGAGAAAATGGAAAGAAAAGCCATATGAAGGCCTGATTAATTGATTGTTACATGATTAGAAAATATGTAATTGAATTATAACTGATCCAGATGTTGACCATGAACTGAGCAACACTGATGACAATATTACCCAATAACACAGAAAACGTTTCCATTCTGTCTTCATATCATGGTGAATTTGATGTTGTAGAAGTTTTACAGCAGAAAAACGCCAATAGAACATTATTAGGACAAAATAGTTTTAAGGCCACATATGAATAGAGCATATTCATATTCTTTCACTGAGGATTTCACTGAGATTGATTTAGACTACAGTCTTAAAAAGATGGTTCTTCAAGCATTCTTTAGTAAAGATAATGGCTCTATACAGAACCATTTGCATGCCTAAATGGTTCTTTGCATGGTGAAATCGTTCTTCAGATTGATGGAGAGCATGTATATGGTTCTGTATAGAATCTTTTTGAAAATGGTTCTATATAGCACCAAAAAGGTTCTATCCATACCATTTGTGTGCTTAAATGGTTCTTTGCACAGTGAAAGATTCAGATTGTTGGAGAACATGCCGTATATGGTTCTGTATAGAACCATTTTGAAAATGGTTCTATATAGCACCAAAAAGGTTCTATACAGAACTATATGTGTGCTTAAATGGTTCTTTGCATGGTAAAATGGTTCTTCAGATTGATGAAGAATGTTGTATATGTTTCTGTATAGAACCTTTTTGAAAATGGTTCTATACAGCACCAAAAAGGTTCTATACAGAACCATATGTGTGCTTAAATGGTTCTTTGCATGGGGAGATGGTTCTTCAGATTGATGGAGAACATGTTGTGTATGTTTCTGTATAGAACCTTTTTGAAAATGGTTCTATACAGCACCGAAAAGTGCTCTGCTATTGTTACGATGTCAAACTTGTAACAACAGAAGAGCCCTTTTCAATGCTACATAGAATCATTTAAAAAGATGGTTCCTCAAGTGTTCTTTGGTAAAGGGAATGGTTCTATTTAGAACGATGAGTTCTATATAGAGCCACGTCATGCTTAAATGATTCTTTGCATGGTGAAATCGTTCTTTAGATTGATGGAGAATGTGTTGTATATGGTTCTATATAGTACCAAAATGGGGCTATTGTTACGATGACAAGCTTGTAACAATAGAAGAACCCTTCATGGCTCTACATAGAACCGTTGTCTTTACTAAAAGACCCCTTTAAAGAACCATCATTTTAAGAGTGTACTTTTATTTGTACTTATTTCAATGAGGACTCTTAAAACAATATTTTGTCCTAATAATATTGAATTGCCTGGTAAGTTAAAGAGTAACTCTTATAAGTTAAATTGTCAGGAGCGACAGAATTTCTCCCAGTCGCCTCTGCATATGCCTGCTCGGTGGCTGGGGGATGCAGGCCTAGTTTTCCATTACATCTGAGCGCAAGTGAGAGCTCATTTAAAGCGGGATGCTCAGTGGATTTTAAGTCATGCTACAGTGATTGCTGTTTATTTTCTCACTGCAGTCGCGGCGACGAGTGCGAGGGGGAGGATGAGGCTTGCCAGAGCGAGAAAGAGAGAGAGAGGAGTGTGTGCGTTGAGAATATACCTCCTTGGCAACCCACGGCGTCGTATCCTTGACTAATGTAAGCATCGTTTAATGTACACTCAAAAGAGACGAGCGTTAAATCGCCACTATAGAACACATACGCTGAGACTGTCAGAGAACCGGGCCTGAAAATAATGGAAAGTTCACTTTCGCTTTACTGGCTACTGACCACAGATCTTTCAATTCCTTAA